TTCTTTTTAGGAGCAGGATCTTCGAAAAGTTCAAAAAGTGAATCATCTTTGGGAGAAGGGGAACGAACAATATCAGAAGGGCCTAACTCAACAGGAATTGAAGTTTCAATAGTCTGGATTGCATCTGGGGGGACAATGGTTGGCGGATCAGTGTTATCTGGTAGGGAAGTTTCAGCTGGGGCGTCACAGATGGGTTCTTCAAGAACGAAGGTCGGGACCTCGGAAATGTTTGGAGTTGGTTCGGCAGAAGGAGTTGGTTCGACATTTGATAAGAAATCGAGGAAATTCTTTATCGACCTACGCCTAGTTACAGCAAAAGATGATTTCTTCTTGGCTCTTGGTGTCTGAGCCCAAGCAGACTGGATCTCCTCCCGATCTGCAGCCAAAGTGGCATTGGGGTAGTTTGGCACAGTAATGAACGAAGTGTAGGTTGGAGTATACCCGAGCAGTGTGTGGGCGGCTCGGCAGAACAATGACTCATTATAGTTCCAAACTTTTTGAAGTTGGTCCATCTTTACAGAGGACTCAACAATTCTGCCCTTCACTGTTTCACCTGTGCAGAGGAAAACTCAATCAGTGGAATGAAAAATCAAAGTTAAAACAGAAGGCAAATGAAATCAAATACCTGGCATGCCTTCTTCGTAGGGACAACAATAGAATGGGATGACACCAAGAGCGTATTCCCAATTTCCAAAGACAACCACCACATCATTTTCATGTCCCTTGTTTGAATCTGGAAAATGGGTTACCAAATACCTCCCCTTCTTCCTCACTGATAGATAATAGCTATCTCCGGCGGCCTTGATGATGTAACAGCATAACATCTTCCACAATCCAAGACTTAAGCCTAGAATCTTGTTCAAAGCAGACGGAACGATCCGAAAAAAGTTGAGGCAGCATTGGGAAGGGCAAAGTTTTGCAGCAGATAGAACCCCAGATAAGGAGAGGGTCGAGAGGAAAACGAATCCCACCCTCGGTTATGGCACGAGTAGGAATGGGGACTGATTTGTCTTGTGCCAATCAATGGCTCATCTTTTCCTACGACTCTAACCTTGACGTCATCTAGAATGTTATATTTGGCTTTGAAAGCAGAAACTTCTGACGGAGTAAAAGGAGCCATGAAGAAGATAAAGTGCAGATGAAGTAGAATACAGAGAGTAGAGGATGAGAATCTGAAAGTCTAGTAGCAGAAGAGCAAAAGTGCGAAGGAAGACGGTTATAGAGAAGAAGGAATTTTAAAAGGCAACATTTAAAAGCTCTGAATATGCCACCAAAACGAAAAGGCGGGTTACAAAGTACAAGTGATAATGAATCGATAAGAAAACGGCTGACAGCCAAAAAACGTGTCAGACATTTTTTGGGGGCAAATGAAGGGGTTAAATCTCATGATTACACGTGACACAACATTAAATGTGCTCATGTGATGTTAATAAGACCAGACACGTGATGAAGGATCTTCCATTAAGAGCTTTCTAATCGAGCCGAACAAATCAGTTCATTCGACAAACAAAGTAAGAGTTAGGTTCTCTTGATGGCCGAACTCATCAACCCATCCAGCTAAGCAGGGTAAGAGCTCGACTTGTACCAAGCCGAGTCCGTTAAAGTGTTTGGCAAAGCGATTGAAAAAATCAGTTTGTACCAAACTAAGCTTCTTGATCTGTTCGGAAAATGTCAAGTGTGCTCGGCGTTTGATATGACCGAGCTGTTCAAAATGATAGATGGAAAGTTAAATATTCGCCTAAAATCTAGGCAATCAGATAAACGAAATCAATGAGATTGAAGATATCAAGAGAAATTGTTGGAGAAGTATCAGTAACTTCCCAAACTCAACTACTAAATTAAAGGAGGGTGTGCCACCTTGAACCTAAAATCGTGAAAACCTTAAGGGGATAATGATCTATAAAAAGTAGAAGAGGCCAAGGTGAAAGGTACGCTGAATTCTCCTAGATTTAGTACAATTATTTCTGTTCTATTACTGACTTAAGCATCGGAGTGTCTTCGATCGAAGCACTTCGATCTTGGGCAGTTTGTTCGTTTTGTAGGAAAGAGTTGAGGAAATTGTTCATACTTCATTCCCAGAAATCATATCACAAATTCATGTTCAGAGGTATAACTAATTTTTTGCCTCTACATAAAATTTTGGGTCTTTCTCTAAAAGAAATATTGTGCACACCGAAAATTTGTACCAAATTTTTAAGGAATCAGATTGGTGACATTTTGCCCCAAATTTATTAGGCACCAGATTGGTGAACTTCATTGTCATTCAACGACACACATTCATTTAGTGCACGTAGCATTGATCTTCTCTAAAATTACTCATGTATTTTAGGCAGCACGTGGCTCAGACTCTATAAATAAGGGTGTCTATGAGCCGGGTTATCCACGGATTCCGTTATCAAGTTTGAAAAAAATAGGTTCGAAACCTGATAGGCCTGCCCTCGCCCGAGCTCAATATCCTTAAAAAGAGGGCTTGAATTTGCCCTAAACCTATTATCCGACCTAAAGCTCAGCCCAAGAGCCCGCCTAAAAAAACCTATTAAAATCCGGCCTAAGAGCCCGCCCACCAAGCCCAGCCTGCTCACCCTACCTTTAAAAAAAAATGTATATTTTTATACCATTAAATTTGAAATCTTAAAATAAGTCTCCCAATGTCAAAATTTAAATTTTTAAAAATTTATATACTATAAATAATATTTTCTTTTCTTTTCCATATATTACACATACAAGTTTTAAATGATAGAGTAATGCAAATGATAGATAAGTGAATATGTGTCAACATAGTTGAGATGTTTTCATTTTATTGGATGTAGTTCATCCCTTAATCAAAAATAAAATTATTCATTATTTTATTTTTATCCATTTTAACTTTACTTTTGATTTAAAAATATAATTTACATAACTATTAAGTTACAAAAATATTTATTATTTTTGAATAAAATTATATATAAAAAAGTCTGTGAGCAGGCCCAATTAGCAAGCTCGCATAATAGGCTCACGAGTTGGGCTGCGGGTAGTCTACCCCTACCCGAAGCCAGGCCCGACCCATTTGATAACTCACTAGGATAAAGACATAGGCCTATACTACCCAAGTTCAATTCAAAAAAAATTTCATGGGCCTAATCTAATCCCGCCCATGAACACCCCTATGTATAAAGCAGTGAATAACACAGCTGTTGGAGTCACGAGGAGAGTGGAATCCACCCCCAACTGATTAATGGCTCCATATTTACCACTTGTGCCCAAAAACAAAAATTTTGTTTTTAAACGGTTGAAATATTTCGGTCTTGTTTGATTTATGTTTCAAAAAATAATATCTAAAAATTATTTTTGAGAAAATTTTTAGAAATTGGTGGTTTTGTGTTTTTTGTGTTCGAGAACTTATTTGGTTATATAATTTTAAAAATATTTTTACGAAATAAAAAACGATAAAACTTATTTACACAGTAACCCATAAAATAATCTATATAATAAAATATATAAAAATTTGAATTTTATTTCCTACATATTTTTTCCTCCAAAAACATTACATTACTCAATTTTATCACTTGTTTAATTATTTATTAATTGATAAATTTCTAGTTTAACAAAATTTTTATTTCATTCTTTGTCTATACACAATAGTATACATATTTTGAGAAAATTTTGTTCGATTATACATTTTTAGAAAATTGATGCTATTTTTAAGAAAATAATATGAAGAAATTAATTTTAAATAATGTAATTAAATAAACGAAGAAATAAAAAAATTGTTATTTGGTACAATAGAATCAATTTTTTAATCACTCGAATCTTATATTTTATAATGCTTTCAAGCACGGGGTATGACTAGTGAAAATATAAATGTGGTGGCGGCGGCGGCTGACGTTGTGGTGGTGGTGGTATTTTTTAAATTCTAGAAAAGTTGTTTCAAAAAACACACAAAACAATCATAACTTATTCTCTAAATCTACTCACATTTTGTTCTCAGCTTTTCAAAAAATAAAAACAAAAAACAATTAGCTAAACAATTTTTCTCCTGAAAAGTGCCTCCAAAAGAAAGTAACAGTTTCTTAGAGGCAAAACAAATAGGGCCTTAAATTTTAAAGAATTTGAAACGGATTAATGACTTAATCGAAATTTCCTTCAACGTGTTTCAGAATGTTTCGATACATTTTCACCAATATTTTCACAATGTTTTGAAGTGTTTTAATATGTTTTGATATACTTCGAATAATAATTCAGAATATTTTGAAAATAAAATTTTAAATTTATTATTCGTTTTTTATTTTGTTTCAAAACATTTCTTAGATGATCGAAATCATACATCAAAATAAAATTTTAATCCTTATTTGAGACTCTTGAGTAACCAAATTGCTTATTTCAAATTTGTGTTTTATGCCTCTTTTTGCTTTTTATTTTTTTATTGTAAGATTACATATATCTGATTTTTTAACCTCATTCACTGTGTATTCCTTTTTTTTTCGGCTAGCTAATTCGAATGACTTATAACACCTGACTAATTCTTGCGAAGCACATACAATTCTGCTGTCATATATATAAGCATTGGTAAGGTGGCAAAGAAAATTTTTGGGAATGACCTTGTTCTAATTGATGATAGATGATCATCGATTATATACTGGTAGAGAATCCTATTCTAATTGATGATAAATGATCATCGATTATATATTGACAAAGAACCCACAGAATATAATAAATCCCACTTGAATATAATAAGTCCAATGGGCCAACAACTCTATCAATGACCACCAAATATATCTCATTAATTAGCATTTTTAGGATTGAATTTTCTTTTAAATCCAAGTGCCTCATACTCTAGATTGCTACTTCTTTGCTTTGAAGTTCTTCAAGCAACATATGGAACCAACAAGTTACAGATAAAGCTAATGGGTCCATACCTAAGACCGAAGGGAAATTCCCCAGACATTTCTCAGAATAAAAAATAGTACTCATTTTGGCTGCCAAAAATAATCTAACAAAAAAATTTAGAGAGAGAGGCAGAATCAGCTTGGGCAGAACATCTGACAAAGCATGGGGAGATCCCAAAAAGCATCACTGGAATCATGAACATTCTCCCAGTACTCATTCACCCCATTCATTGCATAGAGTGATGCTGATATCTGTCTCTCCACCTTCATGCGCTCAAATTCTGGAATCTGATGAGTCTCACTCATCATCTCAGACACCAAACCAACTCTTTTTGGCGCCTCAAAACCACCTTCTTGAGCTGAAAAAACACTATTATGATCATATTCACTTGTATACACTGATTGTTGATTACATTGAGAAGAACCCATTTCATATCCTCCCAAGCAGTGGCTCAAATCTGGTTTATATGCCTCATCAAACATCTGAGTATCAGCTGGTTTCAATCCATTAGCTTTAGGAGTACTGGTAGAACTAGTTTCAGTACTAGTGAGTGTGTTTGTTTTCATGTTGGCAGTGGTTGAACTGAAAGGAGGGCTTTGTTTTAGGCCTTTCTTCTGATTGAGGAGATTTCTGATTTTCAAAGAGAGAGCAGGATTGGAGGGGGCATGATTGATGAAGTTGGTTCGGGTATTTGAGCCACGAAGAAGGCAAGCAGCTTCGTCGTAGGCTCGAGCTGCTTCTTCAGCAGTATCAAATGTGCCTAGCCACATTCTAATCTTCTGAGTTGTGTTCTTGATCTCTGCCACCCATTTCCCAGAAGGCCTTTGTCTCACACCAACAAACTTGCTCTTGTTGGTGCTTCTCATGTCTCTCTCATTGAATGTGCTCTGTTTGGGTGTTAAAAACCCTTCTATTTGCTTCTGGAACTGAATCTCCATTGAAATTAGAACTTAATTCAAGTGCTACAGAAGAAAAGAAGAGAAGAGTATGTCAATTGCAGAGATTGAGGGAGACAAGTAGGTTTTATAGTCCTCGAAGTTGTGGGTGTCATGTATTTGTATGCCTGTCAGGTTGTGGGATTCAAATTGTTCCTTCTATATGGTTGACTGATTTATCAATGCTGTGAATTGAGACTATTTCATGACCCATCATCTGGAAATGTTTATTTGTGTTTGTTAGTTTATGTTGGAAAACTGCCGAGCATGCTTACTCTCATCTTACATATGCCCAAAAAGTTCTAGTTTGGTTGTCCAAGATGATGTGAAAAGGCCAGTTTGCCCTGATCTCTACACTGCTGTAGTCAAAACCCAAAAATTACCAACTTATAATGTTATCGGTCACTAATAAAAAGCATAAGCTAGGGGCTAATAATGACATATGGGTGTGAATTTCACAACTTAGCTGCAAAACTCCATCAAAATCTCTCAACAATCCAGGTTCACACAAAGAATCTCCCTAATAATTCTGATCCAAACAAGCCTCTAACAATCTGTTGCAAGGTAAGACATGGATTTGAATTTCATACTCTATAAAAGGGATAGTATGGAGAAATTCTTACAAGAGAGTCCCGGTTTACCCAAAACATGCAAAAGACAAGTAATTGGAAAATTTTCGTTTTTTTTTTAAAGAGAGGAGGACAAGTTATTTACATTTCATTTCATGGTCAGAGACGAATTGAAAGCTAAAAAATAATAATTCTAAAGAATCCCATGGGAAAAATGAAAAGAGAGTATAATATTGCCTAACCATAAGGGACATGCATGGCATTTCACCCCTAGACAAGGATGATCCTGGGAAGTACTAGTGTGATACAAAAAAAGTCAAATATTGTATAGTGCAAAGTTCATTTTATCTTTTGTTCCCTCTCTCACTTGGTCAACTGAGAAACTAAGTTGCTATCACGAAGGCCTGCCACTCTTTATTTTTTTATCTTGAATGTTTTGGAATGAAGCAGGCCTGCCACGCCAGACTTCGATAGAGATAAGGCCTTTCTATTTTTAACTTGATAGAAATAAAAGTAATGGAGGACTTGTAATTTGTAATGGTCTTGTAGAATCTTATTGTGCATGCTCTCTGTTTAGCGGAATCTCTCCAACCCATAAACCACCAAACGGCAACTATCATGTATGCAATAAAACAAATTACAAAAAAAAGAAAAAAAAAATTGATGACGTTAAGAGAAAATTGAGATATGGGCATCATTCAGCTAATTATCAACATACCTGATGCGAATGGACAGTTCTGCTGTTGCTGCTGCAGTTCAACATACTGGTAACTCAACTTTCTTTTGAAAAACAACCAAATTATATTTGCAAATAAAAAGCAAACATGAGATAATAAACACATTGTTTCACTAAGATTTTTATTAACCATGTCAAATTCAAGTCTCAGACAACTATGATCAAACAATGCCCAATCATGTTTCTTACGGATTGGATTATCCATGTAATATTGCAACAAAAAAAAAAAAAAACTCCTATTTGACATCTTTCTTTTTTGAATAAGACCTCGGTTACAGTAAAGGTCTATTAGATAACTTAAAAGTAGAATCCAAGAAGATCCTCTTGATCCTACTTGGGGTGTGGCTTGACCCCCACATCAATAATGTCTTGCCTTAACCATCGAGTTGTATCTTAAAACCTGGAGCTTAGGACAGCCCCCGTACGAGGACGTGCACCCTAAGAAGGGTGGATTGTATCAAGTTAATGTACAGAATTCTATATCACCAAGACAGAAAGATTGTTAGACTATTTATGCGATAGCATCACCTTAACGACAGATGGGACACTACATGAGAGACAGCAAAAACCTTAAAAAACTTTGCAAGACCACCAGACAATTCCTGCAACAAACTCACTCCCATTCAGCTAGTAATTGCGATGTTTACAAACTCAAAATGGGCCCCCACACAGCAAAAAATGCAAGCATTTAGCATATATTACGATTGTAGTAAATGATCATTGAGAAACAATGTGTTACCCATTTGGTAAGATTAAAACACCAGAAACCCAATCATATCATTCACCATTGAAATAATAAACATTGTACTACCATTGTATTTCAATTGTTGTACTATCTCAATCCGCAAAACAAAGAAAAGATGACATGACCAAAACTGTGACCAGATTTGCCTATTGGGCACCCTGAGGCCTCAACACCTCACACATCGACTAACAAAAACTCCCAAACCACAATTACTGACCTCCTTTCTTATGCTTGCAAGACCGCACTATAAATAACACTTGACACTATACACATGCTACAAGAAATATGTTTCTTTCCAATTGCTCGCATGGACATTCACACCCAACCAAACAACCAACACCAGGTTGCTGCGAAACATCATGCAAAAATGAATGATGGCATATCTTATGAAAAAGAATGACAACAAATATATGATGGACACCAACCAACCCCAACGGAACAATTTCGGGATGAACTAGTTCTCCTCTTGTCAGCCAAAAGATGCTATGATGACAGGATTGATTGCAACGCAAGCTGCTGTTGGGGCTGCAAGGATGACCACATTGAGGTCAAAGTGGCTGGTGGCAATGTCTGTTGAAGCTGTCTCAGCAAATTAATCATTCGGCTAGCAGTTTGTTCTGTTGCAAGATCCTTGCCAGCACATAGAACCTAAATCAAACAAAAAAAAAAAACAAACGATGAAAAGGGTTAAAATCAGACCCATATTTTCTAGTCTCCACGAAAATAACTGATGCATGCAGCCTATATTGAGAGAAAGGTGAATTGACCTAAACATAAAATCTAAATTATGTCTAGTTGCCGAATCAACTGAATATGGAGAACTAACCTCAGCAAATACTGAAACAATTTTAGGAAGATATTGGTTGTTGGGACCCAAAAGCTCCCTATCTGACCTGCAGAAGAAGAAGAAGAAACATCAATTACAACTAGAAAGGTATCCTGCAGCATAAAGATAAAAAAATGGAGAATGAAGCTCTTTTCTATATTTCTCTTTGATGGAGCTGTAAGAATAATTCCTATAACAGGCTAAAATGAAGAATATCTGAAGCCCTTACCTTTCTACCATTGAACAAAGCTGCTCATGAACTACTTTTGCCTCAATCAGATCACCCTTAATAGGCAAGTAGCTTAACCAGGCAGGAACAACCTGGCAAATGAAAAAATAGCACGCAAAAGATGCTCAAATGTATCAGCAAGGGTATCAACAAAACTGAAACTGAAAATGGAAATTTCATCACAGAAACACAGTTCACTAATCGTGCAATAAAACAAGTAACAGACTTAAAAGGCAAGCTGATTTTTTATTGCAAGAGGTGAGTTTTCAACCCCGACCCTTCCCCTCCCCTCCCCTCCCTTCCCTTCCCTTCCCTTAAGATTTCATGTCAATGCTCAATCAGATGTGCTACAACATCTTTGGCATAGGAGCACCTTTACATACCTTCGGCTTTCTTGTAATGGTCAAAGCTCAAAACTATATCAAAAGAACCTAAATGTACTTTTCCATGCTTTTGTATTAAAACTACTTGGAACTCAATAAAATTTATCAACACACACAAAACTAAGACCCCTAATACATTTTTGATGTTCCTAATATTGCCACCGGTACAAAACAAAAACCCTTTAACTAGTATGGTTAGTAAGATAGAGCAATCAACAAAATGATATCATATCACTTGTCACTCACAAACTTAGAAAATGAAAAGCTTAATGGAAAAGAGGGAAAACTAAATTCCAAGTAATTGTCAACAAATACTTTAACAATAGTATTAATTTAAAAGAGTCATCAATATTACTCAACCTAAATAGGACACCTTATATTCATCAATTGGCTAATATTAAATGACTATGGGTAGTGGGTATATAAAGTGGGCTGGTTATCCAAAAGTGGATGATGGCATAAAATAGCAATTTTGCTGGCACTGGATTTGGCCTCAAATTAGTGCTGAAAGGTGCAAATTTGTACATGGATAATTACTCATGGTAAGATTAACACTTATGATATGCTTAAAAGAAGACCATCCAAGGTTTGTCTTTTACCGTCTATGAAGCACGGATACGAATACAGGATACGGGATACAGGTATGATACGATACGGATACAGCGATACGACAAAGTCTAAAAAAGTAAGATACGGGTATGACTAAGATACGGCTATAATAAAATATATTTAATGTTTCTATTATTTTCAACCAATTTAATACTTGTATATTTTAGTAGTTCTTTAATATACAATAAGAAAAATTAGTAATTTTTTTTAGTTTCAAGAAAATATATATCGTATCGATGTAGTATATTCACAAAGTGAAGTGACTAATTAAAAGAATCAAAACTAATATTTACCTAGTATTTAGAAGTAATCCTTGCTAAGATAATAATGTAATGACTTTATTTTATACTTTTTTGACATGTAATTGTAGATAATACTTAATAAACACTCATGTGCCTTTGGAGTAATATGAATTTTTTGTTAAGTATTGTATGATATGTGAATTTGAAAAAAGATCTTAAAAGTTCAATTCAAAAATTATATATGTTGCTTGACTACAAAGTATCCGTGAAATATTTTATTTAATTATTATCGGATACATAGAAGGTGTATTCGATACGTATCCTCGACTATCCGACGAGTATCGTATCCGATACGGTATCGGATACGGGTACGTCAACCACAATGAAGTATCCTTGCTTCATAGTTTACCGTAGTGTATTATGTGCAAGAATGATAGTGAAAGCATGGATCATCTTTCCTTACATTGCCCTGTTGCTATCTCGCTATGGAACAAGCTATTTATTAAGGTGGGTATCAACTAGGCGCCACCAAGAACTATGTTATTTATGATTGGATTGGATGTTATTGGGGAGGGTATGCATAGGAGGTGGAGAACTTTGTGGGCATGCACAAGTAGTTGTCCAACTCCATTTGGTTGGAAAGGAACACAATAATTTTTGAGGACAAATTAGAGGAGACTGAAGGTCTTTGGAAGAGGATATACTTTCTGGCTTCTTTTTGGACCTCTACGACTAAGGAGTTTGACAATGTCCCCTTTTTTTCCATTACATCGAGTTGGACAACTACTTGTGCATGACAGTTTTGTTTTGATTGGGTTTCTTCTCCAAATGTTTTTCAGTTTATTTTTCCTGCTTTTTGTGCATCTTTGGTTGGAACAACCTGTCCACCATTTACATGTCCTTTGTAACTCTCTTTTTGATTTTAATAATAGTTTTGTTGCTTATTAAAAAAAGAAATGTGGTATAACCCAACAACAATACATCAGAACCATCCTATGCAAACATCAAATAATATAATTTCCTACAAAATTCAGATTGTTCCCTCATTTATTCTTAACCCCATATGGAAAATTTGGGTCGCTTATAGTTAATCAGACTGTAATTAAAAAATTTAAGGCATAAACCCTAATTTCATTAAGACTAAGCATAGTCAATTTTTCAACTCCGATGCACCGGGGGCCATGATCTACCTCAAAATAGGCCCATCCTGTCTACTATCAGCCCTTGAGAAATACATATGGCGCAAAGTCTAATATAGCTTGTTAAGTTATAAAAATATACACAAGCCTTTTCTTTTAAACATGAGATTGTTATATCAAAAAAAAAAAAATCAAAAAATGAAACTACCTGAGCCGAATCAATATTGTCACGATGAAAATGACATATTTTCCCCAAAGCTGAAACAGCATTATCATATGCCATCACATTATCAGGTTGCAGTGCATTAGGCTGTCCTATCACAACATTTAGTCTTGAAAGAGCCTCTGAACAAGGGCACAAAAATTGTCAACTCCAACACACACAAACATAAAATGAAAGAAACAACTCCACTCCATTATGTGCGAGCAGACTATACCTCCAACAAGAGGTTTGAATACAGAACCACCATATTCGGCACAAACGCCAAGTCCATACACAGCTGCCTGAAAATAACAATTATACCATTGGAATGGATCAATATCCTGATCAGCTAGAGTCAGAAAATTTAGCGTTGCATATCTATTCTGACCTGTCGGACGTCTGGGTTTTCATCATTGCATGCTTCCAAAAGGAAAGGAAGATATGTATCATAATACCTGCATACACACAGAGAACAATAGAATTGATGAATTACCATAACAGCCACCAATGCTTTCAAGTGTACCTTGTGAAATGAATACATACTTCAGAGCCGCTTCACGACACTGTTCTGCAACATCATCAAAAATGCAAATTGCAATCCTTCTCTCTTCAGCTGTTTTGTCCTTGCCCTACATTAAATATCAACAGTTCATAAATAAGAAACATGATACAGATAGTTGCATGCACAAAATTCATCAGCAGAATAAACCAAGCATAAAAAAAAGAAAACAAATCTTTGAAGTTGGAAAAAAGGGTGACTTGTGGCAAAACGTACCCACATAGGCATCAGATATGAGGACAGCTCATCAAAGAAAGGTAAGAAAGATGCCTTGAATGTTTTTATCAAAGTTCCCAAGATTTCACCAACCTGAACCAAAAATTAATATGTGAAGACATAAATAAATCTAATGTTCTACACTGTTAAATAAAGAAAGTGACACTTTATCTGAAAACTCAAAAGAGGTATCTGATTCCGAACTTGGTCAAAAACTTCTTCTTCTTGCTCATTTTCCTCCCTAAGCAATTCCCCCTCCTCATCATCAAAATCTTCAGCTTTGGCCCTCTTTGCTCTTTCCCTTTTTCTACTTGAACTGGCTGTGATGACCTGTTTTATTTCATCCACTATGCTTCTGACCTGGCTTTCATCCAAAAGTGATCCGGAGATCTGAAAGCAAATTCCAAAAGACTGGATGATGACCTTTGAATGATATGGTGCTGGAGGGGAGTTAGAGCATCCCCCAAATAAAAAGATTCCAAATATGACCCACAAAGGTCAATATTAAATGCTCTGTACAATCTCTGTCAATGAGTCGTGTTATGTCAAAATTTACTTAACCCATACCCAACCCATTTATAATCATGTATAGTCAAGTTCGTGTCATGTACAAGTTATGTCAATGGGTTCGTATTGACCTATTGATTTGAAGGGTCTAACGGGTAAACCTATTTACCATCCAAGCCCGCTAAGGCTAAACCCAAACCAAGTAATCCCGCATCAATTTTGTATCGGGTTCGCAAATCATGTCAAGAATTGCCAAGCCTACTCTATACTACACAACTCAAGCTACATAACGTCAATGCCCACCCTCCCCCAGTGGAGAAACAGGTATACACCTCCAATGGAGAGGTGGCAGCCAATGGATGATTATATTCTTGATTGTCACACAGGTGCGAGTACACAGCCTAAGTAAATGAAGAAATGGAAGTGCAAAACAAGTGAAAAGAATAAACAAAAGCACAAGCCCTTAGACCCTTAACAAGTAACTTACATTAGCTACTCCAAAACACTCAAACATTCTCATTTCACACAACCGATCATATCAAAGACGATACTTAGAAGATCGTGGCACTTGCATTTACTTTACATTGTAAACCCAACACAAGCCCTGATGTGTACAGAATGATAGCTAGCAGAAAGTTTTAGAAGGGTAACTAGCCCAGTCCAGCAAAGCAAAGCAAACCAGACCAGATCAATTCTGGATGTATCCTGGCCGAACCTTTTACTTCATCCCACTTGAGCTTCACTCAAGATTGGCACACATTTGTCCCATAGGCGAGAGCTTAGTCAAGCAAACATAAGACAAATTCAAGCATGAAATTGCTAGCTTTGATCAGCAAACCATGCAATCTTTTCTGAGTATTTGCAGCATGGCATCATACAGCTGCATACTTGAAAAGGTTTTAAAGAATAGCAGTCATCAGTAACCTAAAAAAAGTATCATGTTATCAAGCTGATAAAAAATACCCATGGTACTCAATTATTCTCATTTATATCAGATATATCATAATGTGAAAACATGTTGCTTTGGAAAGGAACCAGTTGAAAAATGATGCTTTTGCAATGAACCGGCAGTCCATATGAGACTAGGTTTCATAGTGCCTCTCTGCCTTAGATTCAGCAATGGATCTGCCACAAACTTTTTCAGAATTATGGAAAATACTCTCTTGAAAAGAGGCCCACATCACCACTTTCAAAAGCCCACTGAACATAGCATCACATTACTGAAGCTGAATTCATCCAAAGCTCATACACAATAACACATTTAGGGGATATGAAAAGTGGTTCTGTTCTCCAAGCAGGCTAACTAGTCTGGAGAAGATATGTTCTGCATCTTAAACTTCCACTGATAACAAAATTTATTTCTACCTCAATGTGACCATATGTCAAAAATTGTCAAAGCAAGGTGGCATCAAAATATTGGAACAGTGGTTTTCTAACAACTTCACTCATCCTTTTATTTCCAAGATGTACACTTCACACAAACACGAGGAGTATGCTACACCACCACCGCTTTGTTTCTCTTCTCTCTCTTACATTCCCCACCAGACTGAACACAAGATCCAGATAGCATACAAACTTATAGTAAGAGATTGTCCACATTGTGCAGTAAGGGGAACTAAGGTTCATAAGCTGTCTGAGTAAATTTCTTAGTTGGTACTGTGGCAAAAGAAGTATGCTATAACATAACAAGCAGAACAACACCTTGCAAACATGATAAAGGTAAAGGAGTAGAATGTGTTTAATATGTATTTAGTCATACCGACACAAAATATCTATATAATAAGGGAACTAGCAATTCAAATCCCTTGTTTGTCTTGAGTTTTTCATAGCTCAGATTATTGATCCAAGGATTCTAATTGCTCCCCAAATTTTTTTTTTTGCCCATATTTTTGAATAAGCCTTTAATTCCATATACAACTCTAAAGCACTCATCTCTCACATGACTCTATGACTCTATCTCCCACTCTGCCCCATCTGTCACAGTCTCTCTCTCTCATATATCTCTCTGATACAACTCTCTCTCAGAATCGTCTTTCCATCTACCTAGCCTCTTCACCTCTCTCTCATGCTCTACACACCACCGCCACCACTACACAACCTTAAAGTATTTTCTCATCCTTTCATATTCTCTCTTCCTCTTCTCTGTATCCCACACACATAAAACATGCTCACAGGCATAGAAAAAACTCAGACAAAGAAAAACACGCACATAGAAAAATGCACATAACACACACCAACTGCATGTTTGAGGAAATGCCTGAAAGGGATTTGATTTACTAGAATGACATCTTTAATTGGCCTAAAGTTGAGTGTTTTCATTGAATTTAATAACTTCTCTCTCTACTCCGCCGCAGCCACCCATCGTTACAACCACCGCCATTGCCACCGATAGGATTTGCTCACTCTCTCTCTATATATGTTCCTATCCTTCTTCAAATTCCTCTCTTTCTCTCACCCCAACCGAGAAAACCTCCCCTCCGGAAAACCCCAACCCATATAAACTCGAAAACCCAGCCACCCCACTCACAGATTAATTTTAAATTACTTGGGTGTTTTTATTGTGTTTGGTAAATTACTTCTTGTTTGTATTGTGTTTGGTTTGGATTAATTTATAGATTAAAATGTTTTTGACATGTACTCATTCTGATGTTGATTGAATTTGATGATATTATGTTATTGGGTGGTTGTATGATTTTCTGATGATGCACAAATTGAATTTGTACACCACCTGTCAATTGAACAGTAAAAACGTAATAATTGATAAGTGAGAGATAGAGAGAAAATCAAGACAAGGTTTACAGTGATTCGGCCAACGTGACCTAGTGTAGGGAGAACAAAGGATTATAAGCTTTGAGAGGGTGAGGAGACAATTATGCTCAAATGAGGGTGATGCCCCTCAAGTGTTGGCGGGGCTTACAATTNCGTAATAATTGATAAGTGAGAGATAGAGAGAAAAGCAAGACAAGGTTTACAGTGATTCGGCCAACGTGACCTAGTGTAGGGAGAACAAAGGATTACAAGCTTTGAGAGGGTGAAGAGACAATTATGCTCAAATGAGGGTGATGCCCCTCAAGTGTTGGCGGGGCTTACAATTGCTAGTAGCCTCATAACGGATTTGGGCGATTTAATAGTAATTAAATAGTTAATTTAGCAGTCATAACAGATTGAGGCGACTTAATAGTAATTAAGCTGTTCTGGAGGAGGTGGCGACCTTTTCTCAACGGTCGAGGCAGTTACAATACTCTTCATAGGACTCGGTCAAAGGATGAGGTAGGTGTTGACTCTTTTCAAGATGACTAGGAGGAGGCTCTTGAATGACCCTTATTCCAAAATGGCTAGAAGGAGGCGCTCTTGGATGACCCTTACTCCGAGGTAACTAGGAGGAGACTCTTAGAAGATGACCTTTACTCCAAGGTGGTTAGGAGGAGGCTCTTGGATGACCCTTACTCTGAGGTGGCTAGGAGGAGACTCTTAGATGACCCTTACTCCAAGGGGGCTAGAAGGAGGCCCTGCTGATGTAGCTCCTCAAACTTGATGAGTTTGACCGGGCATGGACCACTTTAGGCGCTGGATCTCTTGGAATTGGGCTCTTAATTTAAACTGGGTTTGTAGCATGAGTTGGGCCCTTGGACCTGGCCCATCATTTACCCCCCAATGCCCTGTGTCCAATGGAACTTGAAAAGGAGAGCATTCGGTTGAATCTGAATTTTGGCCAAACGCACAACTGAAAAATTTAGGAGGAGACTCTTGGATGACCCTTACTCCGAGGTGACTAGGAGTAGACTCTTAGATGACCCTTACTCTAAAGTGGCTACAGGAGGCTCTTGGATGACCCTTGCATGCTCCCCTGCTGATGTAGTTCCTCGAACTTGATGAGCTTGACCGAGCGTGGACCACTTTGGGCACTGGATCTCTTGGAGTTGGGCTCTTAATTTAAATTGGGCTGGTAGCATGAGTTGGGTCCTTGGGTCTAGCCCATCATTTGACCCCCAATACCTTGTGTCCAATGGAATTTGAAGAGGAGGGCATTCGATTGAATTTGAATTTTGGTTAAACGCACAACTGAAAAATTTTTGGGACGCCAAAACATCTGTTTCTAGGCCTTTTTTGGACTTTTAACAGCATCAATCATAGTCAAAGGCTGTGTGTATTATAGGACTCATCGAGAGCTTCGATTTAATATATTATGGGTCCCATTTGAAGTAACAGAATAAAAATTACAGTCAATATAGCGAACAAGGAGCTAGGCACGTAGTCTGGGCGAGCAGGCAGTTGAACGCACATTTTTTTTTTTGTAAAAATACTTCGGAAGGCCAACACATTTGTTTCTAGGCCTTTTTTAGACTTTTAACAACATCACTCACAACCTTAGGCTATGAGTCTTGTAGGGCTCACCGAGAGTTTCGATTTGATATATTATGGGCCCCATTTGGAATAACGAAATAAAAGTTATGGTCAAAATAGCCAGCTGGGAGCTAGACGCGCGATTTGGGTAAACAGGCAGCTTCTGGGTGCCTAGGTTGGGTGCCTGAGAGGTGCTGGGCGCCGCTCGAGTGGCAATTTTGCTGATCGCAATAGAAGAGCACTGTTTGGGGACAAGCACAGGCGGGCCTTTTTTGCGCTAGTTATTAAGTGCGGGAGTGCTGCGGCAATGAGCCGACGTGCTGGATGGATGAAGCCTGTGGGTTACAGACGGC